TCCTCCTCCTCCTCCTCCTCCTCCTTCTCCTCCTCCCCCCCCGCGAGGGCCCGCCCGCCGCGCCGCCGCCCCGGATGCCGCCGCTGCGGCAGCCCGGGGCGAGGGGCCACGGGGCCGCCGGCGGAGCCGCGGCGCCGGAGAAGGAGCCTCCTCATACGATCTCCTCCCTCCTCCCCTTCCTCCTCCTCCCCTTCCTCCTCCTCCCCTTCCTCGTCCTCCCTCCTCCTCCACCTCCTCATCCTCCTCCTCCTCCTCCTCCTCCTCCTCCTCCTCCCGACTTAACCCTGGCGTGCTCAGGAGGGTCCGGGCGGCGCGAGGTCCGCACGGACGAGAGGGGGCCGAGGGCTCCGGTGCCCCCGCGGGCCGCATAAAAGGACAGCGGCGTCGGAGGTGCGGGCCGAGTTCCTTTCCTCCCTCCTCCTCCTCCTCCTCCTCCTCCTCCTCCTCCTCCTCCTCCTCCTCCTCCTCCTCCTCCTCCTCCTCCTCCTCCCCCCCTCCTCAAACCCGCCCCATCCTCCTCCTCCCCCCTCCTCCTTCTCCTCCTCGTCCCCCCCTCCCCATCCTCGTTCTCATCCTCCTTTTGCTAGGCTCCTTCCATCTTCCGCCTCATAGCCTCTGTTCTCTTTCTCTCTCGTCTTCCGTCCTCATTCCTCCGTTCTCCATCCCACTTCTTCCATCTTCCGTCGTCCTTCTCCTTGGTGCTTTTCTGCGCTCCTGGTCGGTGGCCGAGCTGGCGGAAGCCTCTACTTCCTCCTCCTCCTCCTGCACCTGCTGCTCCTCCTTCTCCTCGTCCATCCTCTTCCTTGTGAATAACTCTCCCTGTCGCCCCTCCAGACGTGTTGGTAGGGCAGGCTGGGCATGTCGCCTGAGACGTCATCACCATGTATGACTCTGACGCTTGAAGTTGGGAGACATTTCAAGGATGGAGGGCGGGCCGCTGTCAAGATGTGGCTCTCGCATTCCTGCTTCCCACAGGCGGGCAGCGAACACTCGTTTGGACAAACCGCAACAACTCCCAGGATTGAGGGAGGGCCGTTTTCAAAATCTGGCTCCCGGCTTAGCGCCGAGCACATTCGTTTCAAATATTGCAGAACAGTTTCAAGGTTGGAGGGCAATTTCTTTCCAATATGTGGCTCTCGCTGTAATGAGCGCCGAGCCCTTTCGCTTGAAAAGCTTGCGGCAGTCTCAACGGTTCCCAGGCACGGTCTTCTGGCACGATTTCGGATTGTCAGGGCGCAGCGGTCACGCTGATGCGCGGTGAAGGCCCAGAAAAAGTTGATCTGGCACAATTTAGGGCTATCAGGGCGCAACAGTCCTGTTGACTCGCGGCGTGGAAGCCCGAGGACAAGAGCTGTGGCACGACTCAGGATTCCCGCAAAGACGAGTTAGACTCTTGCGGTGGCCTGCGATTTGGACGCCCGAAATGGGTGCGGAAAAAATGGGTATAATGCCCAACAGCAAATGTTGTCCCAAACCAACAGCGGCCGCTGTTGGACAGGCGGCCCTCTGTCTCAAATGGACACAGGCCGCGGCGGCGTGGACAGCGAATCCTGTCCAAACTGAACAGGAACTGCTGTTGGGCATTGTACCCATTCTTTCAATACCCATTTCGGGCGTCCAGAAAGACGAGTCAGACTCTTGCGGTGGCCTACGAGGAGGGAACTTGGAGGGAGGGTGTGTTGCGATACCTTTTGCGCGCCTTGACTTTGCACTTTTTTGGGGGTTTTGTTTTTCTCCCACAAGGCAAATATTCGACGTACGCCTGAAGTGAAACAGTCCGCTGTGATACGACTGTTTCACTTCAGTCGTACGTCGAATATTTGCGCGCCTTGACTTTGCACTGGTCCTCCTGCTCCTCCTCTCGGGTCGGGCGAAAGGGGGGGATAGCAAAGGGGGGGTTTGAGAATCAGCTCACGTAGCTGATTTTCCCGGCGCCTCCCGGCGCCTGAAGGCGGCTATGTATCGAGGAATGGGCCCCTCGCTGGGGCCGAAACCAGCTGCATGCAGCAGATTTCGTACCCCCCCCTTTCCCAATCCCCTCCTTTCGTCCGGCCCGATCCTCCACCTCCTCGATTCCTCTTCCTTATCAAGAGCTTCTCCCTGTCGCACCCCGAGGCCGGTCGAAAGGGCGGGCCGGGTTAAGCGCCGCGCACATTCGTTTCATTCGCTTCAGAAGTTTCACACGTTGAGGGCGGGCCGTTTTCGAAATGTGGCCCTCGCCTGATCGCCGCGCGCATGCCTCTTGAACGAGTTGCAAGCGGTTCACGGATGGAGGGCGGCTCCCTCTGCCAAAACGTGGATCTCGCCTGAGCACCGCGCGCACTCTGTTCGAAACATTGCAACAGTTTCACGGGCTCCCATGGTCAACGTACCAGACATAGCCTTTTGGAGAGGTGTTGACAGGAGGGGTGCCCCCTGCTCCGAGGTGTCCCCGGCTTTCGTTTCCGCCTCTTCTGGCGCTCGAGCTCCAGGGGCCACCGAGGACTCCCCGGAGAAACCTGGGGTCACCCCGGGCCGGGGGTGCTCCTCTGGCAACGCCTCCTCCTCCTCCGAAGCCTCCACAAACTCAGAAACGGACACACCAAAAAACATTCGCAGGCCTCGATCCTCACTCCTCTCCGCCCCCCCAGCCGCCCAGCCCGCGCGGCAGCGGGTTGCTGGGGCACCGAGTCCAGGTCTGGGAACTCGAAGTGTGGGCTGGACCTTCCACGCGAAGGGGGGAGAGGGAGTTGGGCGGGGAGGCCAAAGAGTTTGCGGCGGGGGCGCGGGAAGACGGAACGGGGACGAGGACGAGGATGTTCGTCGGAGGAAGAGCCAGAGGCAGAGGGAAGGGGAGGAGGCGAGGCGTGGTGCAAGTGGAAGGGTTGCTGTGGTGGAGATGGCGGAGGAGCAGCAGCAGGACGAGACGAGCAGGAAGAGGAGTTAAGAGTTGGGGAGGGGGACGAGGAGGCCCCCATCTGTTCCGCCCCGATCCCCCCTTTTGTTCCCCGCTCGCCCTTTTTTCCCTCCCTCGTTTCCCCCCTGCCCTTTTTTATTCGTCCCCGCGCGGCCGCTGGTCGGCTCCTGGCAGGCGGACGCCGAGGCAGCCCCTATACTACGAGGCGCCCCCGGGGCGGCCTAGGCGGAAGCTGCGAGGCCAGAGGCCCTGGGGTGAAGTCGGGCCTGTCCCCCTACAGGGGGGATTTTCGCAGAAAACTAAAACATATGTCACAACAAAAACCCAAAGAAGTAAAAACATACTATGAAAACAGTCCCTAGACTATTTTTGGACTATTTTTGTATGTTTTTTTTGATTATTCGTCGAAGATCTCCCTTAGGGCCTGTCCCCCTACAGTGGGATTTTCGACGAAAAATAAAGAATACCCCCAAAAAAACCCAAAGGTTGAAAAAATACTCCAAAAATAGTCCCCAGACTAGTCTTGGATCATTCTTCGATTCTTTTGGACATATTTTTTAGTTTTCGCCGCAAATCCCCCTGTAGGGGGACAGGCCCGACTCAACCCTGGGGGGCCCGTGTGGCGGCTCCCATGGGCGGCCCCACGGCGCCGGGGAAGCGCTGGGAGGCGCCACGTCGTGCTGGCCCAACCCCGGCGCACTCGGGGCGTGGGGCGCGGGAGGGGCAGGCTCCGGGGACAAGACAGGCGCGCTCTACTCGCAGAGCGACTACTCGCAGAAGCCTGGATCCGCCATGTGGGACTGACGATACGGTAGGTTCGTGCGGCGTTGGCGCGCACAAGGGTTTTTGACACCGCGTCGATCGTTCAACCTTGACTCGATCGCGAACCCGACCGTTCAAGGTTGAATTCCGTCTGGTCTAATGGCGTTACCGTGTCCATCGGTGCTGCCGCGTCGCGGAATTCAACCTTGAACGCCTTCGCCAACGTCGCTGGCGCGCCAACGCCGCGTGAACCTACCGTACAGCACATCGATGCAGACATGTGCTTCTGTTTGGCCGTTTGCGAGTCAGCATGCTGCGAGTGGTGGGGCGCGCTCAAGGAGAGGAGGCGCCAGGGGGAGGCGCCGGAGCGTGCCCGGCCCCCTCCTGGCGTGCATTCGGGCTTGGGGCGTGGGCCGGGGATGCGCCGGGAGGCCCGCGGGAGCGCGCAGGTGTGCGGCAGGGCACACGCGCACACGCATGGCATGTGCGTGGGGATGGCATGTGCGTGCGGAAGCGCGAAGCGCGAATAACTTCGCGCCCTCGAGGGCGCCCTTGCTGATGCAT